ATTAAAACTTACTTTGGTTTTTTTTTTTTTTTTTTTTTTAGTTTTTTTAGTTATTCTTCCTGCATTTCCATGGGGTAAATGGTTTCAAGTAATAGGTAAAATCTATCTTTAAAAATAACAGAAAAAAATTACAGATTAGATCTGATCTTTCAATTATATGATCCAATTTGTGATTCGTTTAATAAGAAAAAAGAGGATTACATTATCATATCACCAACCGTTGGCTCTAGGTCTGGACTAATCCAGGTAATCATGGATTTGAAAAACGAGTACTTAGTACAATAATGTTGTTGGGAATAATAGGTGGGGTAATTACGTAAATTGGAAATTATATCCATTATTCGGTCTGTTGGAACACAGAAAAGTTTCCATAGGGTTACCATATAAAATTCATCTACAAAGAGAAATCAATGATGATAAGATATTCTTTGGAGAGAATGCTTCAGATGCAAAATTAGAAATATCGAATCTCCAACTTTACATACCCGTAATAACACCATCAATTGAAGTAGAAGCGAGAATATTCAACTCATGAACTAGAGATATTGAAATAGCATTTCTTCATCGTAATACAATAGGCAGCATAGCTTTAACTGGAGAATCCACTACATGGCCAATCACTTACACTATTAAACCAGCAAGATATTTAATGGTTGGTTTCAAGAACTTACCAGATTCTAAAACGAATAACAATAATATCTTTAGAGCAGCAATGAACCAAACTCAAGATCCTATAATCCGTAAAGTTCAAGTAAGATTTAACAACGATAATTATCCTAACCAACCTTTAACAATTAATCCAACCACAAAGGATTATAATGAATTGTATAGAAACTATAAAAATATGTGTGAATTATTTGGAAATCCACCTCAGTTTGAATATGTAGATTTTGCACTTAATCATCCAATCTTCTGTTTTGATCTATCAACTCATCAAGAAGATCTTTTCAAAACAGGGGTGAATATAAATATTCATATTGAAAAAACACAAGGATATGTAACAGGTTATTGTTTATTATTGGAAGGAGCAAAACATTTAATAAAAATATCCGACAGACGGATGATTCGTATAGTATAATCATTTAAATTACTCTCTTAAAAATGAAACCAGAAACTTTAGTAAAAAGAATAATAGAGGCTATCGAAACGGAATAACAAACAATGGTAAAAGGATTAAAATATCTAAAAAAATTATTGATAAATATAAACATTGTAAAGTCCGTGATGATATATATTTGGAAAGAATTGACAAGAGTGTAAAGGAAGGTGGATTTTTACCTTTCCTACCTTTGATATTTGCTAGTCTGGCTGCGGCAGAGGCGACAGCTGGTGGGGCGGCTGGGATAACACAAGCCATCTACGCCAAGAAAGCAGCTGATGCTGAAAAAAGTGAAAAACGTAGACATAATATGGAAATGAAAAAAATAGCTCAAGGTTTGGGAGTAGCAGATATATTAGGGACAGTTAAAGAATTTGGAAATCGATTTAGTGAAGAAACCAAGAAAACAGTTAAAGAGGGATTAAGTAATCTAATAGATAAAATCGACACAGGAGAAACGAATGTCAAATATAAGGGTAATGCTATATTTTTTAAAAACAAACATTCTGGAGAGGGAATCTTTCTTTCAAAGTATAAAGGAGAAGGAGTGATTTTTGGAACAAAAATATAGAATACAAAATGGGAAAGAAATTTAATCATTCAGAAATATTTCCTAGTAACCCAATGCTCATGTGTATTTGTAGAAGCTCAGGTTCTTTAACTTATTTGACCTTTAACATGTGA